AAGGAATCCTGAAAAGTGAGAAAGGACCCAAACTGAAAAATTAACTAGCTTTTTTGCATAATGTTTCACATGAATCCACACATCATGGACCTTCTGGAAAGCAGGAACTGATTTTAGCAGGTGACTCAGACCCAGCCTGAGCCCCAATAACAATCATGCAAAGGCTGAGAATTTTGACTTACGAGGTGGCCGGGAGGACCTGGTCTGCCTTGAGGTCCCATAGGGCCTGGCTCTCCCTGAAGAAAAAGAGAGAGAGAGAAAGAGAGAAAGCTGAAGGATAACATGGAAAGTCAAAGCAGACACATGACTCTATTCAGTGGAGACTAATGACTCATCTTCAGATTGCTCATATAGTAGGCTTTAAGCACATGTTGTATATACATTCTTATACCCAGGTCAGATTGGCCAGTGACTCTGATTTTTTCACTCTTGCAAGCCACCCTTCTGTGAAGCATCTGCTCTTGCTTGCACTGCAGGCTGCTCTGCATGTCACAAGGTGTTCAGGGAGGAGCTGGCAAATGAACATCCCCATAGCAACAAGGTCCCCAAGTTCTTTTTCCCCATTGGGGGAATGGCTGCCACTCCCTTACATCGGAGAAATAAGAGGTCTTTACAGTATGAGGATAGGAACTATACCCATATTTTAGTTTGGCCCTGCTCCCTTAGCAATCTTGCCAATCCCAGCCTGTTTATCATTGTGAATTGCTGTCTGCAAAGCCCCAAGCTTCACCTGCATGACCTCGCCTTAAGTTCCTGACCCAGGAAAGTGACTGTTATATACACATGCAGCTGATGCTGCAATGGGACATAGAATGAGTGTTACAGCGATAGAACAGCCCATTGTGCATTAGAGCTGTGGGCTGGATTTAGTGGCTAACTCCATCAGTCTGTAAATCCAGAATAAAAGAGTACAGTCTTGTGTTGTGTGCCCAGAGCATTGACCTGTAAAAACAACACACTTCTGGTGGTGTGCTGATAACTCACCTCGGCTCCAGTCCGGCCAGGATTCCCAGGTGGCCCTGCAGGACCACAGTCACCCTAAGAAGTAATATATGCATGGTTCATCATGTTTATATGGGATATTCCACAAAAAGCTGGCACAGTCTGGTCCTGGGGACCCCAACAACATAGATCCATAGGAGGATGGGCTTGCTATGATTGCTGTGCATGCCTCTCAATGCACTAGTGTGACTGATGTGTCAATTGAAGAAGTCACAGGTTGTATCTCTGATCTTCTACATGCAAAGCAGGGATTCTGCTGCAGAACACTGGAGGGCTATTGCCCCAAATATTTCATAGCCTGTTGCTTCAGAACACCTTTGATGTTTGACTACTCTGTACTAGGAAAAAATAGGTCACCCAAATTCTGCAAGAAGAATACTGTGGCCTGCACAGATCAAACAAGTACATTTGCATGCTTTATTTCACATTACTAAGTTTCACCCCCTCCCTGCAATTTTCATGATTTATTCTGCTAATTATGAAGGGTGGGAAGAAAGAAGGCATGCAGGGCTCCCTCTAAAGTCCTGGCTCCCTGAGCACAGGAGATCCTATTTAGCCAGTCTTCTAGTGCCTACTGCTGCTACCATAACATGAAACTTGCAGTTTTGTTTTTAAATGAAAGCTGATGTTCCAGGAAACTGAATTCTTAACCCACAACCATGTTCTATGATCAGGGCCAGCTCACCCATGAGGCAAGGTAAGATGACTGCATCAGGCAGCAGGGTCCACAGGGGCAGCAGATACCAATGTAGATCTTTATTTCCCTCCCCTTGTTCCTGTTGTAGAACCTTATTTACCCCTTCTGTCCTTGCATGGAGAGGGTGCCATTTTATGCTTTGCTTCAGGTGCCAAATTGTCTTGGGCAGTCCCTGTCTGATGAGTATTCCTTTTTTGGCACTTCTATATGGAATTGTCTCCATATTCCTTACTGGGCCCATCTTACAGATAGCATTGATTTGTTTTAATTCTGCCCCCCTCCTCAAAAGCACCTATCACTTAATGATGCTTGCAGTCGCTGACCTTTTGTCCTGGGAGACCAGGGTGACCTGTTTTCCCTTTGAAGCCCTAGAAGGAGAAAAGAAAAAAAAGAAGAGTTTTCATTGAAGGTGCTGGAGCAGCCTTGGCCAACCTGGTTCCTTCTAGATACTTGGGACTACAATTCCCCTTGGCCCCAGCCAGCACTGGCTAGGGCTGATGGAAACTGTAGCCCAAAACATCTGGAGGGCACCATGTTGGCAAAGGCTGTGTTTGAGTAACTCTCATAGTTGCTGAGCAATTAAGCTCTAGGCCCGCAGCTGTAGATCCACCCCCCCTTTTTTTACAGTTACCAACGGACCAGAATATAACGCACACCCATCCCAGCTTGCTCTTTCACCTTTAACAACAACACCCTGACCTCCAGAAATTGGCCAGTGAAGCTTTGCACAGTATGTAGATAAATGGTACTGCCACCTGCTAATGTCTGCATTTCAAGCTGAAAGTACAGCGGCTGCAGATTACTTAAAGGGCATTGTCCTACTGCCCTTGTCAATACCAGCTTCTTTCAGTGGGAAAAGAGGCTGCCCAGAAGGGGAAAGCAGTGGGACTAAGGTTCCCTACTTTCCATAGGTCCAAAATGGTCGTAAGATGACCTGCAACTTACTGGAGGTCCCATCCTTCCTGGAGGTCCTGCAGCTCCTGGGTCGCCCTAGAGAAAACGACAAGTTAGTACCACCAAAGGGCAGGTACTGGTACAAATCTGGAGGTTTTACCAGGAGGCTTAACACTATCTGAAACATAAAGTTCCTTACACATCATGCAAAGGAAGCAGCCATCACTCCTCCAGCCCCACTAGAGGGGTTTAGGCTGCTGTCCCAGATGCAGTCCTGGAGTCAAGCAGAATGCTATGCTTTTCATCTCTTTTTTGGTCTCACGGTGCTGAAGCCCCAAGCAATCAATGCCCAATGGGGTAAGGTCAGATCAGAGGCAGAGCTGAGTTCGCCAGTAATTCTGAGACACAATGTAATTGATGGTGTTGGGTTTTTTAAACGCCAAAATAAGTTGTAGGTGAAGACGTTGTCACCATCTAGCGGGATTCACATCCTTACCCGTAGCCCTGGCTTTCCGTCCTTCCCATCTAGTCCTTCCAAACCAGGTGGACCCTAGAAATAAACTCAGGTTACAGATGCATTCATTCCTTGCACTGTCATGTAGATAATCCAGACTGCATGGCCAACAGTTTACATTTATATATGGCATTATAAGCGTGCACATGGGCTTCACAGACATTGGCTCAGTTTCAGTTCAGATGTTACACTGAACGACGACTAAGGAAGCTTAACTGTGTTTTGGGGTAATGTTTGAGCTGACAATGCATAGTTTTCAAGCCAAGTGAGAAACAATGGGCTGAAACTAGCTTGTAAACTATGGTTTGTGGCAAATTTTGTTTGGTGCAATGCCAGAATCAACAAATCATAGTTACAGCTATCATTCCAGCTTCTGAGGCAGTTGCACCATGGATATAGGAGTGAATTTATCAACCTACAAAAGCTGAGGGTGGAAAATGAAAGCTGACAAGAAGCTCTAAACCATGGTTTGCTTGCTGAATATTTGGCAGAACAAACTATGGCTTGGGTTCTAATGGCTAGCACAAGCCAGGGTTTATTGTGACATCTGAACTGAGCTATTATTTAAGCGACACAGTGATTACTACTATGTTAGGGCATATTGGTGTGCCTTAAAAGGGTCTGAAGTGTCCCAGGAAAAATTACGGTAAATCTCCTTGTTAGAAGCATCCATTACAGGTGCATGTGAGCCGAGAAGCATCACATCTGCCCAGAAAAGCACACTCCAGTCATGAGCAGCAGAGAGTTTAAGAAATTTAAAGTGCAGGATGGGGTTGGCTTGCATCACCTAAATAACTACCATAACAGAGGCTTCATTGTGGAGCTGCGTCTTTTTCCCTGCAGAGTACTTAGTATCATGGATAATCTAGCCTAGTTGTCTCATATCCATGTTCAGGATCTGTAAACTGCTGAGCGACCAGCATACTTACTTGAATTCCAGGGGGTCCTGGAGGCCCTGGTGGGCCCGCCATGCCAGGAGAGCCACGCATCCCCTCGCTACCCTGTAAAAACCCACACAACACCAAATGATTACATTGCTATGACTGCCATGCATGGAGAAGAAACCAATATAGAGGCAAAAGGGAGCTGGGCGTGACAGATGCACTCATGATTCCTTTGCTTTCCTCCTGTTAACTATCTTTTCCTTGGGGAATTCAAGTGGGTGGGGGGATAATTTGGATCAGGGGAGGTTGAAAGAGCATGTGGAGACCACCTGGGCATGTCAGCTGATACCTGGTGGGCATATGAAGCACAGTTGTCAGTGCTAAAGGCTTTCTGGTACCCTCCTGATGTTGTTGGACTCCAGCTCCCCTCAGAACAGCATGGCAGTTGTCATACAAACCATCTGGAGGGCGCTAGGTTGACAAAGGCTGGTATTTGGAGTTTATTGCAGCAAATGATTCACAGGTGTTCCCACAAATAGGTGCCAGAGGATTGCAGAAGTGCCCAGAAGCCAAGACCTGCTTGAGCTCACCTTGCCACCCCCCTCCAGCAGCTGTACCTTACCTGAAAAAGAGATTTCAGGCAGCCATTCTTTCTATAGCAGTTTCAAGTTGCACATTTCAGCCAATATCCTCCTCCCTTAAACTCTAGAGGGCTTATTCACCTTTCCTCCACTTTCTCCAAACAATGTTCACACTTTAGAGATATGTGTTTGAGCGCCGTTTTTGTTTTGCCTGGACCTTTCCCCACAAAAGCCTGCTTTTTAGCGCTCACTTGGCGCAAACAGCAATCCACAGAAAACCCAAATTGACGTTTGCTCCTATTGAGTGCTATAGAGCGGGTTTTCGCAAGGAAAACTATTGGGCAAAACTCAAAAGCAAAACCCCATCTGTGCCTGGAAAAAGTGGGAAGGAACAGGTAAGTGAGCAAAAGGCTTACTCTCCAGTAACTGCTGGGATAGCTCAGTCAGTAGAGCACGAGACTCTTAATCTCAGGTGGATCCGAGCCCCACGTTGAGCAAAAGATTCCTGCATTGCTGGGGGTTAGAAGAGATGACCCTTGTGGTCCCTTCCAGTTCTAACTACAATTCTATGACTTGAATCATTGATTCAAATTTTTTTCCAGGTGCTATCCTAGCAATGAGCTGCAGGTGTCAGCAGAGGCCAGGGAGCAGGGGTGATCTGCTCCTTTCGCTCTCTCCTTCCAGCCCCATCTCTTTCCCTGGGCAACGTAACAGCTATTTTCTCCTTAGAGTTATCATTGGTGCTGCTAGAGAGCTTTCCTGAAAGATGTAGCACAAATGACCCCTTCTTCCCGGATAGTGTTTTGTCAACAAACATGGGTAGAGGGTAAGGTTTGAAGACAATTCTCATTGGAACGACTCTGTGACTTGCCCACAGCGACTGACTGAGAAAAGCAACTAAACCTGCCCCTTCCTGGTTCAGCAGGTCACCCTCTAACCACAAAGGCTGTCTTGTCATATGAAGGAACATCACACTCTCAGGTAGTGATGGATGGCAACCTCTCAGCTCACCCCAATTTCTACTTGCTTTCAGTGATTTCTCCTACTGTCCAGTGGGGGGAAATAAAACTCAACCATTTTCAAATGCTTGCGAGGAAAGGTTATAAATAGTGAATGGATGAGCTGAATCACTTTCTTAGCCCTCCTGCAATTTGCCCCATCCCTATGAGCCCCCAGATTCCCTCTGCCCTCCTTCCCTTCTCCTGCATTTGTCTGGGAGTGAAGGAATGCAGAAAACGTCTCTATTTCTCCCTCCCACTATTGGGACTCCTAAAATGTTGCAACCATACTGTCCCTGGATACAGCAAACATTGGAGGTATAGTTCTCCAGGGATGCCTGGAGGGCAATGTTTCCCAAAAGCTGCCTTCCATGTGGGAGAATGTTGTTGGCAATGCTCTAACTGGAGGGGAGGGAAGCAGAGAGAAAGACCTTTCTCTTGCCACTGTTTTCCCCATCCTTGCTACAAGGTGAGTCTTTAAGGTGAGAAGGGAAAGAAGCAGCAGGGAAAGAAAGGAGGTTGGTCAGAAAGGGTGACACAGATGCCTATCAGCAATGGGCAGGGGACACGGGTGAAGCACTGACACTGGCTAGTCCTTCCCCATTCCCTGCCATTGACAGGCAAAGTGAGACTCATTCCTTCCATCCTTTCAATGTTATGTATGCCAGGACTCTTTTAATTCCTGGATCTGGCAGGGATTCAATTCCTGGAATAACCAGGCTAGCTTCCTGGTGAGGTAATGACCCTAAGTAGGGGGCGTTAAGATAACAAAGGAAGCAGCTGGCAGTTAGAAAGACAAATGTCAGAGTTAAGAGTTACGTGAGCTAAAGGCTAGAAACTGGAAGCAGCAGGCTGGGAAGACAGAGAGTCAGAATCATGCCTGATTTTTGCTTGAATCCAAGGCTGCAGCTGTGGGAGAAGCAAGACCCCACTTGCGGTGTTGATGCTGTGAACCCCTCTATTATAGACTCAGGTTGTATATATGTGTAAATAAACCATTTATCATAAAGACACCACAGTCTCAACTGTGCCGCATTTCCAAAAGGAAACACAGATCCTAGGTGAGTGCCTGGAACCCCTGGAATCTTGCACCACTCAGAGACTGGGGTGGTGTGCAGCCATGTTTTCCATGGGGAAACCCAGCCAGATGGGCAGGGAATGAATGAATGAATGAATGAATGAATAAATAAATAAATAAAATAAATTACTATTATTACTACTACTACTACTACTACTACTATTATTATTTCCCCTACTCACCTTCTCTGCTGGAGGCCCTGGAGGTCCAGGTGGTCCTGCTTTCCCTGGGAAGCCTGGCGGCCCCTAATAAGCAAAAAGCAACAGATAGTTTTGAGAAGCCGTTTGGCTTTAGAGTCTATAAACAAGCTTCATTTGAGAGGAAAGCTGAAGTCAGGCCAAAGTGGCTGTTTTGTGCTAAACAGGAAAAAATTAAAATTCTATACTAAAAGGAGCTGAATTCTGCAGCATGTATAAATTATCCAGATTAAGCAAATTTGCATAATTTCCATTTCATTGCATAATTTATAACGAGGAAGAGGCCAAGGCGCTGGAGCTGCCTCCCGCCCCTCCCTGCCTGCTCAAAATCTTATCCGACCACCCTTTTGGCTTCTGAGATTTCAACAGGCGTTGCTCATGTGCATTTTTGCAGCCGTAAGCACTAGAAATATGCTTTTAAGAATATATAAACTGAGATTCTCAGGAAGCTGAATTCCGGCGCCACGTTCCAGGGCTTCTTCTGCACTTATGCTAAATTGGCAGCATACGCAGACCGCCCTGCCTTTTGCTTGATAGTTTGCTTCTGAAAAGGAGCCGACATCTCCACTATGCTTAAAGCTTCCAAATGTTAAGATTCCTGATATAGCCCTTCAATTCCTGTTTTACAAAAAGGAGCAGAGAAACCAGTTTTTGGATAGTTTTCAAACACCATTTGAAATGTTTCTGATCTCTATGGTGACCCTCTGCCAGCCACCGCCTGTAAGCTTCTCTCATCTGCTCCTGAAAACCCATCATCCCAGCAAAATCCCTCTGTAATAATCAGACAAAAGGCTGGTTTCGCTTTTGTTTTTCTTACATCTTGATTGCCTTCTTGAAACAGGACTAAAGATCCTTCCCCCTTAATTGGGTTTATTTCAGGATTCTGCTCTGTTAAAGATAACCACAAACTCTCATCCAAATCCCCAGGGAGGAAGGGGGGAGGGCTGTGGGTCTCCTGCTTTTTCACGGTGCTGTTCCAGCACACCCAGTGCTCCAGAATCTAAAAACTCCTTTGAGATGTGCAATACTTACAGGTGGTCCCGGGAAACCAGGTTGACCTTGAAATCCCTGGGAAGAAAGGAAATGCTGATCAACCACAAGTAAAGCCACAGCAGAGTGGACCAAATAGGTACTTGAGTAGAGTCACATTTTTTGCAGGGAAATCTCTGGGGCTGCAGGTTTTGAGATAGTGGCTTAATGGCACTGAAGGCCATGCTGTAGCCTAGGGGGGCATCAGACCTTCGGTACTCTTCCTAAGCCAAGCCCATAACATCATCTGCTCCTGGCTGCAATGCATGTCCTTCAACTGTGACGCCTATTGCTAAACCTCTTGGGGGGGGGGTTGTGTACAAATATCAGGGCTTTCTGCCCTGGCCTTGCCCACCACTGTCACACAGCTGCCAGAATGTTGCCCAAGAATGTGGCCTTCAGAAGGAAAAAAGATTGGCTACCCCTGATCTAAATACCAAAAGGGGTATCTGAAGCTAAGGAAGGTGACCTGGGAAGTACCCTGATTTAAAATGCCTCGGGAGAGACCCACCTTGGCAGATGCTTTGAGCTCTTTGGAAGGATGGCTTATGTGTCAAAACACTTAAAGGGAGAAGAGTGTCATTTTCCCCAACTGCATTCATTTAAGAAGAAAAAGAAGAAGAAGAGTTTGGATTTGATATCCCGCTTTATCACTACCCGAAGGAGTCTCAAAGTGGCTGACATTCTCCTTTGCCTTCCTCCCCCACAACAAACACTCTATGGGGTGAGTGGGGCTGAGAGACTTCAAAGAAGTGTGACTAGCCCAAGGTCACCCAGCAGCTACATGTGGAGGAGCGGAGACAAACCCGGTTCACCAGATTACGAGTCCACCGCTCTTAACCACTACACCACACTGGCTCTCCAGTGAGATATGGAAGAGGTATGGAAGTCATTTTACTCTGCAAAGATCAAAACTCTGAACGGACTGGTTCAAATCCTCACCACTCAGGCACAAAAATGAATTTGGCCCAGTCTCAGCCTCGTCTATCTCACAGGGTTGATGCAAATGACTTCCTAAACCAGGGAATGCCAAGGTATGGTGCCCTAAGTGCCTTATAAAAAGAGGTCAGGCTGTAGAAGTGGTAATTATACAATTTGTGACTAATTTTGGAGTTGACATTCCAACTATGGTTACTCACTGTGCTGTTTGGTATAGTTTTTGCCTAGCCTATAAAAGTTGGGGCAGAGGCAGGAGATGCAGAGAAATAATGAAGGCTTTAAAAAAAGCCTCTTTTGTTCTGTTCGGGTTGGTTGTTGTTTTTTTTAATCTGCTGCGTTTGCTCCTTGTCATTATGCTGTATTTTACTTATGTCATTTTAATGGTGTTAGCTGCCTTGGCCATTTTTATGGAAAGTCTGGAAGCGTGTTTAATATAAATAAATAATACATAAGAAAATAAAGATTAATGTTAGGCAGCTCTTTTTCATTCCCCATACAAGTGGTGGTGGGGAGAGGGGATGGCATAGATGGTCCCCTCCCTCTGGCTTTAAGCCCGCTTCACCTTGACATGCCAGCTAATCTGGGATGGATGAAAACCCCTTCCAAGGCATCCACCACCATTTTATTATTTTTTTCTGAGCCAAGGCAGGTAACAGGGCAGAAAGGATGAACAGCAGGATATTGTCTCTCTCCCAGCAGGAGTTTGGCTGGCAAAGAAACAGCAAACAAGCCAGGTGATCAATTACCCCCCAAGAAGAAACAGGATTTCAAGCTTTAACAGACACATTGGTTGGAAATCCCAGATTGGGGAAACTCTACATAGCAGAAGGGAGTGTTTAAGCTAGCACAGCACTGTCTGGTAGCAGTTTGACATGCTTTGTCCTTACTTGCCTCACAATACAAGGAGGAAAATTCTTTTGCAGCTACTCTAAGTACTTTCAAACTAAGCATGCAAAGTATGGAATTGCTTGTTTGTTCACTTGCTTTTTAAAATAGGATATCCACAGAATGCCATCATCCAATAATGGCCATTTTGTATTTTCCCATGTGTGGGTGTGTCCATTTCTTCTCAGATTGCATTAAGTCTGTTTTTGCTGCCACCCCCACCCCACCAGAGAGCGGAAGAGTAGCACAACCTCTAGAGGGATGGTGGAATCTGTGGCTCTGCAAATGCTGTTGGACTCCAACAGAAGGTCTTAAACTGTTTAGCAAAAAGGCTTCAGGGAGGAAAGAATGGCTCTCCCTGGGTAAGTTTT